CCACCTCGCAAGTCAGCTAGCGCTGACAACTTCGGGCGTGCTTGGAGTCTTATGTAGCCGACTTCTGAGAGAAAATGCGAGCAGAACCCACCTTGCGAGCGATACCTCAAGTGTCACAAGTGGGTGTTACCAATGTTCCAATGACAGAAAGAACGAAGTCCGATAAGGCTCCTCATCTCCACCAGGATTCTCGGATTGAGACTTTGACAAGCAGGATTTCCACCGCGGCGGCCGCCGACCTTGTTCCGAAAATGGATCGAACGGCAAATGAATTGCACCAACGGACCAGTGAGCCTCAAACGAGTGGGTACTCTAATGGTCTTGACATCCATTCTCTGCTTACGTCGTACGCATTGTCAAGGGTTGTTTGATTCTAGAGTCGCTCTAGACGCACAAAGACCCTTCAATGTTGTCCGGCCATTCGGTGAAAGAAGGAGGAGGGGACCCAGGCAGCCAGCGATGGTAACATTGTGTTTGTACCATTGCAGAGCGGTGGCCGCGTGTGACGGCTGTTGATACGTCCGCCGCGGCGGGGATCCCTTGCACCCTGGGCACGGAGAATTGCCCGTCACCAGTGGCCGGGCCGCCCCCCGGTAGGTAATTGCGGGCCGGGTCGTATGTTGACGGATTTTCGGGGAAGCCCCGCAATGGTTGAGGTTGCTACAGAATCACTGGCAGTAGTTTGTACCGGCCGTATGTCACATGTGTTAAGCTAGCTAGTAAATGCTCGCATTTGATGACAAGGCGTCTTGATACTAGCTGGGGAAGGATGATCTGCTCATAGTACCTCACGAAAGCATGATTATGGACAGGAACTCTTTTGAGTTCCGATGACTTGAGGTGATATTGCAAGACTATCCGTGGCTCTTGAGAGGATCGAACTTGACTCATGGACATACTTCTTAGTAACTTCGGAATTCGAGATAGATATCCAGCCGCAGATCTGCGGGTGTATCCGTATGAGTATATCCAGTCTCGGACAGTCGGGGTGCGACGAGACTTGGCACTACTACACATGCCTGCAAAGGCAAACTGAAATAGTAGAGCCTTTCTTATAAAGTGCAGTGACTAATCAAATAATAGTCTAGACATGGCACTGCGTACGTGTGCCGGCACTTCTACTCCCAAGACTCCGGTGGGTTTCCCCGCGTTCATATTGATAATTTAGCTTCTCCCGCAGACTTGTAAACTCAGAACTACGTATCCGACGGCCCACTGTCCGCTTATACAATGCCACGCCATAGAGATTCAAAAAGAAGGTAATGAAGAGAAGAGGACGGGCAATCCGAATACTAAGCCTGGTAATCGTGAGTAGAGATTTCTAGCATGCCTTGATCATTCGGTGCGGGTGGTCGTTGAGATTGTACAGAGTGAATGAAGTTTTCAGGCAGTGTGCCAAATGTTTGAGTCTTTCATAACGAGCCATCAGCGTCCATTCTTTGTGGAAAAATCGCAACCATGGTCAGGCTCTCGCGGCAGTGGGGAGATAGAGTCTCATAGCAGCCAGCGATGTGCATTCCGGCAACCTTATGTGTTAGTTCCACATTTGCGCACCTCGTAAGGACCCCGATCAACCATTGTACGTGGACCAGTTCCTTCATAAGTCCAGATTACATACCTTTGCTCACAACTTGGACATGCCGCGGCTATACTGCTTATTCACAAGTCGCGTTGCTGCTCTAATTGACCGAGGGAAGAAGTTGCCTTCATCGGTGTAGTCGTGCTTACACCTGGACCCCAACTCTATTATCGCATTTGCTTTACCACCAAACTGATCTTAGCCATTGATGGTCGCGCTCATTGCTATCTGTGAAGCAGCTGAAAAGATCAAGAGCATGTAAGACTATGTCCGGCCAGTGCTCCTTTTTGGATAGCCATACCACCACTGTAAACAGTGGGCACGTATATGACTTGATGACAAAGGTTGACCCATCTCACAAAGATGACGCAATAAAAATCTACTTTGATGAATCTCTGATCAAGCTGGCACTGGGTATTTGACCCATTTATATATCTTACACAGGACTGTATACATCTATAAAAGTATGGACAACAAGAAGGTTCAAGTCGGTATCGATAGGAGATCTCCCACTAATGTTCCCGAAAACGCCGCCACCTAACAGGTCTTCACGCAGCGGTGGGCGCATACGCAAAGAACTCCTTAACAGCAACACCGGCAAACTGCCCACCGCTTCCAGATGCAGTCAAAACAGCCCTCAAAGCCTTGGTCGAGACGGTCGTGAAGCTAACCTCCTTGGGCGTATCCGAGACATCCGTCGGGAACGACGTGGCAGAAACAGCCTTCCACGAGGTGCCGTCTTGGTACTCGACAGTCCACGACTTGGGCGGTGCGACGCCAACATTGGCACCGGCATCCTGGTCAGCAAACAGCGCCAGCGCGACGCCGTTGAGCTCGACGGTGGTGTTCCAGGTCAGGGTGAGGGTGCTCGTCTCGGGGGACTGCTCGGCGTTGTACGAGGACCAGTAGTCGGGCGGGAGGGGCGCCTCCTCGACGCGGCCGTCGTTGATGGACTTGATCCAGTACTGGATGGGGGTGTCGCCCGCCGACGAGGCGACGGCCTTGGGCGCGATGTTGCGCGTCGGCTCGGCGGCGGCGGCGGCGCGCTTGGTCTGGACCATCTTGTTGATGGCCGGCGGGGAGGCCGAGTCGTCCCAGGTGATCTTGTCGATGGCGACGGAGCGGCGGAAGTGCGTGCCGCCCTCGGCGTCGCGGGTGTGGTAGGCCAGGCCCCACTCGCCGTTTGAGAGCTGGTAGGCGCCCGGGTGGGAGGTGGTGGAGGAGACGATGTCGACGAAGACGCCCCGGAAAGTCCAGGGTCCGAGGGGGGACTCGGCGGTGCCGTAGGCGAGGCAGGCGTGGTAGCTCGTGGGCGTGCAGGGGGAGTCTGCGCCGGCGTTGTTGGCGGCGTAGAGCATGTAGTAGGTGCTGTTGCGCTTCATGAGCCAGGGGGCCTCGAAGAAGCCGGTGAGGGAGTCGACGTCGACGACGGAGCCCTTGATGGTCACCATGTCGGTGTCGAGCTCGTAGCCCTTGAGGTAGCCAAAGGTGCCGAAGTAGATGTAGACCTTGCCGTTGTCGACGAGGACGGTAGGGTCAATGTTCTGGATATTGTTGCCGGGGGAGGGAACCGTCTGGGAGATGATGGGACCGCTCGGGTGGGCGTCCTTGAAGGGGCCGAGAGGGCTGTCAGAGACGGCGACGCCGATGGCGAAGGGGTCCGACGCGGAGGTGGACTTTTGGGTGACGGGACTGTACAAGTAGAACCTGCCATCCGGGCCTTGGACGATTTGGCTGGCGTAGGCGGTGCCCTGGGCGGCCCATGAGAAGATTGCGTTGGGCTGGGCGACGTCGCGGTGGAGGGTCCAGTCGGCGCCGGCCGGGTCCGGGTTCTTGGCCTCAAAGATTTGCCATTCGTTCATGACGAAGCCGTTCTCGTTGGGGCCGGCCTCGTCGCGGCCGGAGAGGATGTAGAGGGTGTCATTGACGACGAGCGGCGCCGGGTCGGCGGAGTAGACGGAGCCATCGGCGAGGATGGGGTTACCGGTGGACTTGAAGGTGGTGGAGGTGGACTGCCGGCGGACCGGAATGAGGCCCGCGCTCAGGGGCTGGACCAGCAGCGAAGTCGCGAGACTCGCCCACACGAGGTTGTTGAACATGGTTGAGATGGGGCACACAAGTGGGTAACGAATGGAAGGGAAGTAAGCAGCGAGAGACAAAAGAATGGAAGAATCACACAGTGATTCGAGGAGTTGGCTGACAGTTCGAGTGAAACTAGAGAGAGTTCCCAGGATCGGGTAGGTCTGCTTATACTTAAAGTCATTGAGACATAGTTTGAGAGTCTCTTTCATGAATAACCTTAGTTGAGGGCATCCACTCTTTCTGCTTCCCCTGGAATTTCGTGAGTGACACGAATAAATTGGCTTTGCGCCAGATCGTCCGCTAAAACCCCCAAGCGACCTCGTACTTTTGCTGCCCCCCCTTAACATGGCACAACCGGGGTGTCCATGAGAACGACCGAGTCAATTCATTATTCTCCTTCTCGAAGAACTTTAACAGAGTCAATTAGGTAACCGTCGCCTCGCTCTCGCATCCTTTACGTACTGGGTTAATTACCTACCCTATTATCCCACTTGATTTCATCATTTCAGTCTGTATCCCACCCGGCTCAACTTCTCTAAAGAGTCTTGGAATTCAATCTCTGATAATCTATGATGGTGCCGCGCAGCCGGCGCGAACCATGCGTGGATTTCGATTCCCCCGTTGGACGGATGGAGACTCAGTGGCATCAAATGTCACTCTCTATTTGCGGCCCAATCAAGATGAGACCAGGCGACTTTGAGGGTTGCATTCAACAGTCGATGGGCTGTTGGTAGCTTGGTACCCCGCGTTAAACCCAGCTAGTCCTTTGCGCTAGAAGGAGGGATACGGGCTTGGAAAGATGCTTAATCACGTCTAGCATCCTTTGACCTTCCAAGTTGAGGTTATCCAGAGACGAAAAGGTGTGTGACTTCAAGGTAAGCGCACATCACAATTCCTAAATGTTAAAGTCGCTGGGAAGAGTCGGATCAGCCGCCCGATCCTGTGTCGCACTCGGGCGTTTGTCCCGGAGGGGTTATCCACAGATCATGAGCCAAAAGCGACGTAGGAGAGGACGTCCCATCTGATTCTGTCAAGACAAAAAGGTGCCTGGTGAAGCTCCGTTCCACATCTGTACAGGTGTGATCGGGCACGATGCCGGACACGAGGTGGCATCGCCATCTACCTACAGTATGCACCTTGGGTTGCAGTTGAGTCGTTCGCCTCAATGAACCCCTCAGTTCACGGTAGTCCGAAGTATCATCAGTAACGTAACCGAGTTCCGTCATGCCATCATGTTGGACACACTATATAAGAGCAAGTCGAATGAACTTGTAAGTTGGCCATCAGATCTGCAGTCGACAGGTCTCACTCAACCGCCCAGGTTGCCTCCTCTGCCACGATGGTCTCCTTTCTCGGCACACTCGTGTCTGCCGGCCTCTTCGTCACGGGCGTCCTCTCCCAGGACAACCTAGGCCTAAGCAGCGGATACATCACCCTCGCAACAAAGAACTTCAACCTCCAGCTCGTCAAGAACGCCCAAGTCCTAGCCTCGCTCAAACCCGCCGGCGACACCTTTGACTTCCTCCCGCTAGACTACCTCTCTCTCCGCGCCCGCAACGGCCAGTACCACTGGGGCGATATCACCTACCGCTACCGCCAGTCCGGCACAACCGCCTGGATAAACGGCGACTCCGCCGCCGCCCGCCAGCCCGTCACCACCGTCGCCCCGGCCACCGGCATCCTCGCCTCCTCCCGTCTCGGCCCCACCCTCCCCTCCGGCAGCCCGCTCAACATCACCCGAGAATGGCTCGACGTCTCCGGCGACCTCGGTCTGCGCTTCACGCTCCAGAACTCGGGCTCTTCGGCCATCGAGATTGGTAGCCTCGGCTTCCCGGCCGAATTCAACAGCATCTTCACGAACCGCTACGCCGCCGACATGCAGCGCGTCTGCTCCCTCTCGGATCCCTACGTCGGCATGCACGCCGGCCAGATCCGCGTCGCACCAACCCGCGGCACCGGCGCCGCTCTCGTCGTCAGCCCGCTGGGCGACACGCCCCTCGAGGCCTACCGCAACCTCGCCGAGCGCAGCTACGAGGGAACCTACTACGGCAGCCAGACCTTTGAAGGCTTCTACGAGTGGCAGGTCCTCACAAAGGCCTGGGCTGAGAACGAGTGGCGTTCTCAAACGCCATGGAACGTTCCCACGTCCAGGACCCTTCAACCAGGCCAGTCACTCCAGTTCGGCGTCCGCTTCTCCGTCGCAAAGGGCGGCGTCCGGGAGCTTGATGCCACCGTCCGCGGTACCGGAACGCCCACCGCCGTCGGCGTGCCGGGCTACATCATCCCACGCGGCGAGCCAGCGCAGCTCTTCCTCCAATACGCCCAGTCTACAGTCCAATCCATAGCCTCGGAACCAGCCGGCGCCTTGACGGTCACCCTCGTTTCGGCGGGAAAATACACAGTCACCCCCTCGACGACAGCCTGGGGCCGCGTCCGCCTCACCGTGACCTACGCCGACGGCAAGCTCCAGACAATCCACTACTACGTGACCAAACCCTCCACCGAAGCCGTCGCCAGCCTCGGCAAGTTCCTCACCACGGCGCAGTACTTCACCGATACATCGGACCCCTTTGGTCGCGCGCCGTCCGTAATGACATACGACTACGAGACCAAGTCCATCGTCACGCAAGACTCCCGCGCGTGGGTAGCCGGCCTCAGCGACGAAGCCGGCGCAGGCTCATACCTCTCCGCCTTCATGAAGCAGGCCGTTCAACCGAACGCAGACGAGGTGACCAAGCTGGAAGCCTTCGTCGACCGCGTCCTCTGGAAGACGATCCAAACCACCGACTTCGCCGTCCGCAAGGCAATCTTCTTCTACGAGCCCGCCGCCGTGCCGGGGTACGCCTACTCCTCTGCCATAGACTGGACCTCCTGGACGTCCTGGAACAAGGCCGCCGCCTACTCCATCGACCGCGCGTATAACTACGTCCACGTCGCGGGCGCTTACTGGTCGCTCTACCGCGTCGGGAGGGCCTACCCTGCGCTCCTCAAGACGCACGCGTGGGACTGGTACCTTAACCAGGCGTATGAGACGGTCATGCGGGCGATGAAGGGGGATGTCGGGTATAACCGCGTCGGGCTGATGGGCGAGACCGTGTTTGGCGAGATCCTGGCCGATTTGGGCCGCGAGGGGCAGACGACTAAAGCGAATGCGTTGTCTGCTGCTATGAAGTCGCGGGCGGCGCAGTGGGATACGGAGGAGGTGCCGTTTGGGAGTGAGATGGCGTGGGATTCGACTGGGCAGGAGGGTGTTTACTACTGGGCAAAGTGAGTTTCTGCCACCTTGGAACCCTCTCAAGACATTTGAGACGTAAGACGGGTCGAAGTTTACTTCAAGACATCGGCTTACAGATATGTAAAGGTACTTTGGCTACACCAACACGGCGACAAAGTCCGTCAACAGCGTCCTCGGCTTCATGCCAACCGTCCCCCACTGGGGCTGGAACGGCAACGCCCGCCGGTACTGGGATAACATGTAAGTCTTTCCTCACCCCCAAATCCTTCAACTCCATCCCCTCCATCCATCACGAGCCTCTCTCTCAACAATGAACTTCAACATCTAACAACCAACCCACCAGCTACGGAGGCAAACTCCGCCGCATCGAACGCCAAATCCACCACTACGGCTCCGGCCTAAACGCCCTCGTCCTCCTCTCCGCCTTCCGCTCCAGCCCGACAGACACCTACCTCCTTCGCACAGGCTACGGCGGCACCACGGGCCCCTTATCTAACATCAACCAAGACGGCTTCGCCGCCGCCTCCTTCCACAGCTGGCCCGACACGCTGAAATGGGACGGCATCAGCGGCGACTACGGCCCCAACTTTTTGGGTCTGGCGCTGGGATCGGGTACATATGTCGTGCAGGATTCCGAGCTCGGCGTCTTGGCTTTCGGAGGTGTTGTTACCGCCAGCACGGGAACCGTGAGCGTCACGACCAAGGATGCGGTTAGGAGGAAGGTGTTTATTGGGCCTTTGGGGGTGCTTGTGAGCGTTGACGCTGGGATTATCCAGGACTTCGCGTTTACGGCTTCTTCTAAGAGTATTTCTGTTACGTTGGCGCAGTTGGATGGTGTTCCCAAGGCTGCGAGCGCGGTTGTTTGGTTGGAGAGTACTACTGGGACGGGTACGTTCAAGGTTACGACGTCGGGTATCGCACAGGCGAGGGGCGGGTGGTCTGTTCCTCTCTCGGGGAGCAGCGTAACGGTTCAGATTGGGCCTGCGTAGGCTTGTCTATGAGGTTACTGTGTGTGGGGATGAGATGTATTTGATTTGTCTATATTTTCTCTTCTTTATAGGACGCCAGTGAAAGCTGACAACTTTCGACATTAGCCTCATCTCACTATAACCATCAATATAATCTTCTAAACCGAGCTCCGTGCCCCCATCTCAACGCCGCCCAACGCTTCATAACTCACACATCCTCCCATCATAATCCCTCTCGCATCTCACATACCACCACAACCCTCACAACCCCTTCTCCAAAACCTCAAACCACAAATCATCCCTCAACGCACCGCCCCCAACCATCCCCTCATAAGGAAACTCCCTCCTCTCCCCAGTCTTGACGTAACCCCGCCTCTCATACCACGCAATCAGCTCCCCCCTCATCCAAAGCACACACATCTCCATCCGGCTCACCCCCCAACTCCTCTTCGCATACCCCTCCGCGAACTCCAACACCCTCCTCCCGACCCCGCCCGCCTGCCGCTCAGGCGAGACGGCAAAGAGGCCAAAGTACGCTACCTCCGGGTTCTGTTTACTGCGTACGATTTCGCAGCATGCTAGCGGTATGATAGGCTTCTCAGTGACGGCGTCGGAGTCAGAGTTGTCGGTGACGATGAGGACCGCCCCCTCGGGCTCGGTGATTTTGGCGAGGAGGCCGCGCTCGTCGATGCGTTGGTCCGCTACCAGGTCCGCTTCCGTCGTCCAGCCTTTGCGGGAGAGTTCGCCGCGGTAGGCGGAGCGGATTAGGGGGAGGAGGATGGGGACGTCGGAGGGTGTGGCGGGGCGGAAGGAGAGGGGTGTTTGGGGGGTTGAGACTGTCATTGTGGAGGTTTCTATGACGGGAGGGTGTAGAGAATATGTGATTGTTATTGTATGTATGTTGCGATGGTTGAGTGTGAAAATTGCTGAGTTGTGGTGAGTTGGTGATGCGTAATTTTACCCCTGAGTGAGTGAGATGCTCGGGTGTCCTGACGATGAGGTCTGAGAGTTGATGTTGCGTCGTGATCTTACAATGAGATTGAACAAGTGAATGAGCTTCAATATGATGAGTCAAATCTAGCAGAAAATGTCATCTGTGATCGTGAACATCAAAGAACCTAAATACAACAAACCACTCGTCAACTCGTCACCCCAGAACCCACCGAACCGCCACTCCGGGGCCATCGTCAAGAAAAATTTCCCCTAGTCCCAGTGTTCAATGTCGTTGACCCACGCCTTTCCATGTACCCAATCCCCACAGGGCCATGTCATTCGCCGTTGTTGATCATCATGAACTGACACAGGGTTAAAACAGAAATAATCTCCAAAACAGACGAGCATATAGATGCTGATTGGTGTAAACTCGACAACTAGTCGATAGCCCTGTTCAAGTTGGAGACTAAGCGGGTGTAAGGCAGAGGTGGAGCATCGAGTCATGCAAGGGCGCCGTTAACTTGACATATTTTCGACATGTTTTGACATGACCATTGTTCTCTGATCGGCCCCACCAAGCTAACTGGCTACCACTTGCGAATCCGCGCCGTCAAGATTGTTCTCGAACCTGGACTATCAGACATGCCTAACTCGCCTTCCTCAAAACGACTGGTCAAGCGAACTTTCCTAACTCACATCAATGAGGAAAGTCGATTTACCCACCCACCAAAAGCCAAGCAATCCTTTTCATCCATGACCCACTAGCTCGCTGTGCTCCAACCCAGGAACATCGCTGTAGTCTCATCTACAAGTCTTTATCGGATGAACACAACCCACAGACATACAAAACACCCAGGATCACAGCTCGACACACGTCTCAGAGAGTCGTAAAGTGCCCTGGCAGAAATAAAAAGGAAATAGTAATGAGCGCCATTCAGGATCGGCTTTTTAAAGCGTGATAGTATATTTTATTGTCAGAGACATCTACATCAAGGGTATCAATACAAGCACACGCAAAGCAAAAAACAGAGAGAATGAAAAAGATGCAATGCTATGCTATGCCATGAATGCCATGATGCGTCATACCGCGTTAAATCCGCGCTCTTCTTCGCCTTCACTCCCAACTCTTTCCCCAGACTTCCCCATATCCCCCCTCCAGGCGTCCCCTGACTTCTTTGCAGTCTCACTTCTTCACCTTGGGCGAAAGCACCTTTACACCCTGCGCGCTGTCCCACACGCTGGCACTCACCCTCGCAGGGATCTTGCGCCCCCTCAACCTCTGATCAATCAACCACAACCCAACCACAAACTCAGCCTTGCCCAGCATCCCCCGATGGCTCCGGTCCACGGCGTCCCACACTTCGGCCAGCTCCTCCTGCGGCAGCCGCGAACGCCGCCAGACCTCGCGCGCCACCACATCCACCACGCAGTCAGCTGCGTCATGAGGCAGCGGACCGCCGCCGAGACTCTGCATCGTCAAGCCAGTGGTTGAAGCAGAGTCAACGAGCAGCACGCCGCGGTTGCTCGCCCACACCGCCTCGTACCGCCTTCGTTCGCGGACCGTGATCTCGTCACGCCACCGCCGCCGCGCGCCCTCCTTGTGGGAGTGCTTGTTGCTGGCGCGCTGGTGCTTCTTCTTGCGGATCTCGTCCTCGTCGTCCGACTTCGACGGCGGTTGCCGGAGTGTCTGTCGCAGGCGCGGTGACTTTGTGCGATTAGGCAGTTGAGGCGGAGATAGCGTAGAGTTGCCCGTGTTTGAGGGTGTCAAGCGGGCCGCGGCGAGGGATCCGGCCATGATCGCGTTGGACAGAGAGTTTAGCGGTAGACTGGTAGTGGATGAGGCGGGTGTGCGACGCGGGGTTGTTCGGCTCGGTGAGCTGTTTGCTGATGAGCGGCCTGGCGTGCTGTGCGTAGAGTGTGTCTGATGAGCCGCCGGGCGAGACGGGACGTATTCGGGGACGGCTGTCTGATTCGACTCTGCCGAAACAAACGTGTCGTTAGAAGAGCTTGTATCGGCAGTCGATGGCCTTGGCCCAGATTCTGGCCGATGAAATGGTTCCTGGAGATGAGCATGTCCATAAACCGATGCCATACTCCTAGGCTTCTTCAATGGGGGAGGCTCTCGTTCCTTAACCTTGGAACCACGTGGCTGAGGCGGTGTAGGCGGCTGCAACTTGCTCTTGGACGCCGGTCTCTTCAGCTCAGGGGAAACGATCCCGTCTTCTCTCCCGACAAAGAGCGGCGAGACAGGTTCAGCCGGCTTGGCCTTGGTCCGCGACCTCCTTGGTTCCGGCGTCGTTGGGGGTTGCGCGGTCTTGGGCTCCGGCATGAGCGTTTGGGTAATGGGCACCCTCGTGAGCTCCGACCTAGACCGCACTTCCGGGGCTTCTGAAGCATTGGATGACATGTTGACCGTGGTCTCCCGCCCCCTGGCACGCGGCGAATGCTCCAACACGGTTTGCCTGTGCACAGCCTTGGCCGGCGACAGGACCGGCTCCGCAGGCGACGACTTGAGCGTGTGTTTCCTCGCCTGCGGCGTGACATCCCCCTTGGCCCTATCCTTTTCGATAACCATATTCGGCGTGACAGGCCTCGGCTTGACCTTGGGTTTCGTCTTCGGCACCGCCGGCCTCCGCCCTCCTTCACCGACCTCCTCCTCAACGATACCCATCCTCGCCGCCTTGGCACGGGCAGGACTCAACTCTCTCTCGGGCGTCAGAGGCCGAACCCTGGGTCTGGCAGGGACATCCCCGCCGCTCTTCTTCACAGGATCGACATCCTCCCCGCCCCCTCGCTCAAACATGCTTATCAAATGACCCGTAGCGGGGATGGACGTCGTATCCGGCAAATCGAGGCTGCTCACCACGCTCTCCGTCTCCCCGCCGCCGCTGCCGCGCCTGTTCCTCCTCGCCAGCTGCATCTGCTGCAACTGGTTCATCTGCGCGGGCGTCAGCGCGGATGCGGCGGGACTCGCGTGCGGCTGCGGACTAGGCGAGGCGCTCCGCGAGGCGGCTAGCGTGGCGGCGATGTAGCTCGGGCTCTTTGGGTCGAGCCGCGTCGTGTGCGGCGTGAGGTGGGATGTTGTCGACGAGGCTGCGGGGCTCGAGGCGAGGAAGTTGGAGAGACGGTCTCGCATGTCGGATGTGCCATCGCGACCGAAGCGGCTGTCGGCTGGGGTCGTTGCCAGGCTCGCACCCGTGTGTTGACGTTGTATCGGGCTTGTGCTCGTGCTTCGGTCGTAGTTTGACGCGGTGGAAGCGGCGATGAGGCTCGCGCCGCGGCGACGGGTGATGTTGCCGGCATTTGATGTGGGTTTCGGGGGTGGGATGGGCTTCGGTTTCGTCTTGTTGAAGGCGAGGTTCGCGCCCTTGAGAGCCGCGGCTGCGTCGGAGGCACCGCCCGAGGGTGGGTGATGGTGGTGGTTGTGGTGGGTGTTCATCATCGTGGCGATGGACGACCGCGGGATGGTATTGTAGTGAAGGACGGCAGCATCGGAGGGCTATTGAGTTGTGATCGGGGGTTTGGTCGATCAACAGGGCAAGGATGTTTCTGTCATCCTGGGAGCTTCGGCTTCGTCGCGGATAGTCGAGGGGGCTGATTGTTGGGCGTACGGAAGATGTGTAAATTCGAGCAAAGGACGTACAGGAGGGGTCGAGGGATCGTCGGTAGGATTGGATAGAGGCGTGAGGCTGAGATTGAGGTAAAGTAAGATCCCTAGGAATCGAGGCAGATAAGAGTCGAGTGTTGAAGAAAGAGGAAAAAGGAAAGCTGTACGAATACAGAGATGAATACGAATAAAGACAAGGTGGTAATATTACGGATACCATGACCATGGTAATTAGTAGGTGCTAATTTACTCGGCAGCTCGGCGCAGAAAGTGGAAACGACACCTGCCACCTGCACCAGCATGGTACTGCGGCGTTGCGGCTGAGCTCCAGCTTCCTGCGGAGATGAGCACCGCGCCCAATGGTTCAATCATTCGGGGGGGAGTTGCGGGGAGTTCACCTCAGTCAGCAACAGGAAACACAAAGCAGAGAAAACAGATGGAACGAACGGGTGGCCCGGCGACCTTTCGGTCAGGCTTCTCATCCCAGGTAGGTATTTTTCCATCTCAACTTCTCAAGTAAGGTACCTTGCATCGTAGGTATCCACCTTCTCCGGTGCCGTCGGGTCTGTTCACGTCCCTCCGTCGGCTTTCCTCCACAAGAAAGCTTCGTTCGCTGTCTGTCCATGTACACAAACTCCATGCCTAGACAGGCCCGACATGATCCGCGAGTCAATCATCTAAACTTACTCGCACGTCGTTACAAGACATTGGGGAAATGACGCATCTGGGGGACCATCCCCTCGGTACCTTAATTAACAAGACGCAACCACTGACCACCACCAAGGAAAACAGACGTAGATCTCGACATCACCACCGTCATAGCGGATCTACACACACCATGGCCCTGGCTAGATGCTCATCCGTCCCAGCGAACCATTTAATAAAGTAGCCTGCTGGCACCGAGTGGACGGGAGTGAACGGAAGTCACTTAGTTCTGGTCTCTCACTGCTTTTGCTGGTTGCTGCTACCTTACTCCTCGCTCACTTTACTTTCCTTAGCTCCCGCGTCCCGGGCGTGCCGCCGCCCACCGGCTATCTCAGTCTTACACCACAGCACCAATCGACCCGAACGCCGGAACTCGCGACTTTTACTGATCAGGATGGCATCATATTCCTACCCAATCTCATTTCGACTTCACAAGAGGCACAATTCACGTCTGGACCGGACACAATATTGATAATAATGTACGCATCACTGCTTTTTGTTTTTGCTACACTACGAAAAGATTCCTATTTATCCGTTGAGGCTGAAAAGCGCAGGAAAAAAGACCGAGGCGCGAAAAAGTTTGACCAAGCAAACAAAGACAAAGATGTACGCTCATAATCCTCGCAAGGGGGTTGGCGTTGGCAAAGGGTATCACCCCATCCAGAAGTACCGACCGCCTCGAGAAACCAAAACTCCAATTCTTTCCACTTGCTTGCAATGACCAAGGAAAACAAGATGTGGTATACCCAGATTCGAGGGTAGCTGGAACGTGTTCCGACAAAGAGAAACAAAACAACAATTGTCGTCAGAGCTGTCGATGGGTCCAGGTGGCCATGTCGTAACATGAACCACGAGGATCCCAACCGCCTCGCGGCTCGGTTGCCAGTATGCACAGAGAAGGAAGAAAATCACAATGGCCGCCCTTCCAATTCCTTCCTTCGACATTCCACCAAGCAAAACCGACCGAAATATAAACGACACGGGAAAAGAAGCGAAGGGCATCCACGGACACCGAGATCCTCGACCAATTATTTTCTTTGCCAAAGAAGAAAAAAAGGCATGTTCGTCATGAGCGAGTAGCAAGTGCATCGTTCAGACATGAGGCATAATCATCCGACGTTATCATCAGGCTGCAAAAAGTCCGCAGCCGGCGCACCAAGATGAAGTAACAGAACGAGCACGGAATTAGAGAGCGAATTCCCACGCTCAGTAGCCATCCTCGTCTGTCCACTCGCTGCCTGAGATGATGCGGCCCTCACCGTCACCGTAGGCATGTCCAGCATGTCCACCAGGTGCCGTCATCGGGAACGGCCGCTGCCTCTTAGGATCGTTGGCCGCTGGCCGATATCCAGCTTCGGGTTCAAAGCGCTTGGTGCCGTTGCGGGCAGCTCGTACCTTGGCGTAGTATGTGTCGCTAGCATCCTGCTCGGGTTCGCTGGCGTCGTCATACGTCTCCCAGTTTTCTGAGCCCGTCACGTTACTCGATCCGTTGGATGAGTTGGAAATCTGGCGGGGTGGTGGTGCTTGGGGATAGGCGGAAGGGGGGTATTGGCGGATGGTTGAGGAGTGCGAAGACGGATAGTCGTGTTGGGAGGACCCCTGGGAGTGATGAGAGCTCTGGGAAGCGTACGACGCGTGCGAGTTGTGGGAAGCGTGAGAAGTATGCGAGAGGGTGGAGTTGGCGCGCATCAGCCGAGGCTGCTGGCAATCCTCGTCGTAGGGATCCTCAAGCTCGACCTGGCGGACGATACTCGCGCCCAATCCTACTGACTTGTAAGGATTGACGGGAGTCTCTAGCTCAATCGTGCTGAGATCGCGCATCTTGGGCGGAGGGGCACGCATTTGGTGGTTACCACCGCGGATCGTCGCATAGGCGTCAATTCTCGACGCCGGTCTCTCCGGTTGTACTGGCGAGGTATTGCCAAAGTTGCCGTATTTGAGGTTGGTCAATGGGGGCCGAGCCGGGATCCTTGAGGGACTGCCTGGTGGCCGATTGAGAGTTTGCGCTCGCTCTCTCAAGCTGCCCATGGAAGATGCCGGTCTGGCAATCTCCTGGGCTTTTGCGTGAGCAGACACAGGTCTTGTTGATGGGGCCGCGCTGTTCATGTTGTTCGCGCTACGTTTGGTCGTAGGCGCAGGTGCTGGTGTTCTCACACCATTACGAGTGGGCGGTCTTGCGATGGACGTGGTGCTCTGCGCTCTGCTGTGCCCTCTGGGTCTAGCTGCTGATTGGGGAGCGGCTCCCACGCCCGGTGTCTTGGATCGCGGGCCAGGTGCAGGCCGGTCCTCTGCCTCGAGCACATCTAGATAGCGCTCTCCGTGTACCGTGAAGGGCCGTCCGTACTCGTCCTCGAATCGTTCGAGGATTCTACGTAACTCGACGGCAATCTTGGGTAGCTCTTTGGCGATGCGCTTGCGCATCTTCTCTTCCCTGAGAAGCTTGCCGGGATCGCGCTTCTCACCCTTCTGGCCACGCATCATCAGGCGAGACGCATCCTGACTTGAGGCGGCGAGCTCGTCGCGCTCACTGGTAAGGCTTCGGTGTCTTTCAACGAGCTCAAGAGTGGGGAGGCGTTGTTCCTTAAGAACTTCCAGTCTTGCAATCTCGCGCTCGTGAGCCTCGAGAAGAGCATCGCTGTAGACATCCGAGAAGGCGGGCGTGAACTCAAGCATCTCGTCTTCAGAAAGGTAGAGCGAGTCCCAGAGCTCTTGTAGCTTGAAACGCGCATCCTCGACGAACAGATGCAGGTTCTGCCTCTTCAGCTCGTTGAGGCGCACAAGCTCATCCTCGAACTCGTTGATTTGTCGCACGCCACAGCCTCGGTTGCTGTTGAGGAACGCCTTCCTCTCTGCCATATCAACCTCCAACTTCTCCCAGAGGGCCTCGACCGCCGCGCGCAGGTCCTTGAGACGCTTCTCGCGGTTCTTCTTCTCGTCCGAGAGCTTGTCGCGCTTTGCCTTGAGACGTTCGATATCTTCCTCGTGCAAACCCAATTGCTCGGGTGACTCGCGATAGTACTTGACAATGGCACCGTCTGTTTGAGCCTGAGGGGTGCCCAGCTCGGCCCATAATTGGATCGTGTGCTCGCAAAGGGCCTTAACCGTCGCGACGCGGCGTGTGTACTCTTCATAGACTCTCGTAAACTCATGATCGAGCTTGTCCACGTAGGATGGTGACAGGTCGAAGTTAGGAGGGACGGATTGATTCGGGCCCGTCGGCGGCAGGGGAATCTTGACGAAGGTGGGTTCAAGATGTGATGAATACGATTCGAGTGCTTCGACAAGCTCTGTGTGGCTCGTTAGTAAACCGCGCCATCTGGCATTTTCCCGCTTCCTGGCTGACTCACTCTTGACTTGTTCGAAACGCTCCTTGTGTAGTCTACTGACTTGCTTATGCTTCTCCTTGAGGCCCTGCAAACATCGGGTCAGGGGGTAGGTAATTTGAATATCGTCGCTGCGGTCTCGGCGTGTGCGGTTGTCGTCGAGGGATGCCTCCATCTGCTGTATCGTGGTAATTATGCGCTCGGCTTCCTCGATCATTTCCTCCTTTTCGTTTGTGACAAGGTTCACCTGGTCGGTAAGAGCCTTGGAAAGCGCCTCGAAGAGCTATGGGCGATTGTCAGCACGAACTGGAGAAGGGGAGTGAGCTGTGAGAAGCGTACGTCTTCCTCGCGCTTTTCGCGATCATGGTTGGGAACGCCGATCTCATCGAATAAACCGTGCAATTGGCCGATGATGGTATTGACCTGTTGGGACAGGTAACTCGTGTCCATGGTGGATTAAACAGGCCAAACAAAAAGCCAAAAAGAAGGTGAGGATAAGAGAAAAGGCGGTATGGGCCGGGGAATTGATTGTGATTAAGTTAAGTGCGGTAAGGCGTGCAGTGCAGGTTGTGGGGGTAAAAAGAGTGGGCGTAGCGCAAAGGCTGATTGTTGATGCTATTCACGGTGGCGGGGAGGCCAGTGCGGGTGCGGCGAGGAAGTCGATTTGTTTACTTTCTCTGCGGTACCTGGGATGCGGTTGCGACGGGGACTAGCTTAGTAGGAAGCGAATGGTCACCGAAAGTATTGCGGCGTATAGTGCATCGTCCAGCAAGGAAAAGTCGTCCGAGAGAGAGGAGTAATAGAATGTAGTTGCCTTTGAAATCTGCAGTCTCCTTGGATCTGTGAAGCCGAAGAGATTTGTCTGAGACTGCCCGATCTGTGTTTCTCCCAAGTTGTTGATGACCGACGGGATCTTTTTTTCCGGAGGGATGGCGGAGGTTGGGGAAAGTGGAAAGTGGGAAAAAGAGGATGGGAGGAAACAACCAGACGAGAAGGGGTAAGTCGACAAAGATGCGACGGGAAGGTGCCACTTGATGAATTGAATTCACAGTCAGGAGGGAAGGAAAGGCCTGGGATCTCATGGGAAGGAGGTGGCCGGGAATGTCGTGAGAAACGGGTCCTCAGTTTTCCTGTTTGGGTTCGCGTGGTGGGGCACGTATCCACGGCAACGGGGTCGACTCTCAGCAGGCAAGGGTTACAGTGCGTGAGTGCCTTTTTTCGTGGTGGGTTTCAGGAAAGAGCTACCCCGCCATTGGCCACCTTCGGTCCATTCACGAATCACGATTCGCTCTTGCTCTGTCTGCACTTCAGCTGCCTGCAGCTTAGAGACAGGGGTAGGTGTGAAGAGATACGTACCCGTTGCCGGGGTTCCAATTGCTTTAGTGCTACGTGGGTGGGTCTCTCGCTTGCTGTCAGCTCAGCCCATTAGCCAATCTTAGCTAAGCACGCTCAATCACTTGCACCTTGTCAACCCAGCATTTGTCCCGATGTCCTGACAGCTTCCTCGAGTCTTCTATTGAAACGTTGGCCACCTTAACGGCCACTTCATATGTGAAGAAGATAATGTTACATATATATCCTTCTCTCAAGAATAGAATATCCCAAGATCTCAAAAGAATCTGTTGAGTTGTGACAATGATGTTGGTTGGTTGGTCTATCTTACTGCAACTGCAAGCAGCGGACGATCAAACACACGCCGCTCTGCGCAAACAAATCACCCGCAGCTCTAGTCGCGCATCGGCAACCCGCTTTGTTTACTTTGCTGCATCGCATCGCATCGCATCGCCCCCAACGAACTCTCCAAGTCTGCGTCCTTTCTGCAAGTCATCCTGCGCTGGTTGCTGGTTGCTGCCCGCAACAAAACAACAACCTTTTTTCCTTTCTCTTTTTAAACTAACATCTTAGACTCCTGCTCTTTCGTACGTCGTACGTCTGCCTCGCATCACGCTAAAGTCATGCACACGACAACTATCTTACACCACCAGCTCCATCATATTATCCACACCTGATTCCTTCATGCACCTCAACCTCGCAGCTTCGTCCTCCGACTGGCCTCTTGCTACGAATAGACATATCCAAGTCCAAAGTCACCAACAAAACTCCGTAGCAGGCCGAACGAAAATCAGGAAAATCGATCTGGCTCATCTCGGCTCTTTCCCATCCCTTGCTTGCCCCTCCCCCCTGCCACGCTGCTTTGCCCCATTTTCTGCTGTGGGCATCTTCAGGCGCGTGCTCCAGCGGTGAGATGCAAACGCATCCTCTTCCCACCCCGGTCCGTTGGTCGCTTCACCATGGTGACGGCCAACCCAACCTTGCTTTTCCTGATAGTATCCGTACGAAGTGCGCATCAAATCGCAATCGCGGCGGTACGGACTTTATGCTTTCTTCTTTAATCTGATCTTCCCCTCTTATTCAGGTGATCATCTTCTCTTCCAGCCAAGTCCAGACCCTCTCTCAGCCCGAATGGCTTCCAACTTTCTACGGAGTAGACTACGGATACACGGATAGCTGGGAAATGCTGCACCCAAGCTCCCATCAGTTTCCCCTCCTTATCCCAAAGTTGCAATCGACTGCCCGGGAAACCATGAGTCTTGGGACGACAGTCCCATAATACCAGGCCCATGCTCCCTCTCCCTTTCCCAGCCTCCCCAGATTCGGACGAAAATCTTCGTAACCGACCCGTTCAGAACCAAGTTTGATCTCCGCAACCATTCGCTTCGCTTCTCGCCGTCGCACTGCCCGGAACTGCACCAAGTATCCGTACTGCCCAAACCTGCTCTGATCCAATCCCAATCCAAGTTGAACCCAACACACACACACACGGCACAGGCCGTCCACTAGTGAGCTTCTGGGACCTGACCTGGTTCGGGGCATTTGTTACGCGCGCATTCTCGACCTTTTGCCCCTCCCCTCACCCTTGCTCTGCTGTGGCTGGTAGCTGGTAAATCCAATGGCTAGCCGCTAGCGTTCCTTGACCTTGTCTATACTCTGTCTCGGCGACGTCATCGTTACCTTCTCTCAACTCAACTCAAGGCGCGGTTGCCCGGTGGACCTTGATGCGATCGTGATCCCGCTTGACAACCCTGCAGCTCAAACCAACCCGTGGTATTATCGCACTTCGCCATGGCCGAGAGATGGATAATGTGCATGCCTTTTTACTATAGCTCATGGTCTGCACTCCACGTGTATGCCTCCAGCCACCAGTGGTCGCTCAACTTGTCATGTAATTTTCTGTACGTAAGAGCATGACTTCAACTTGTTGAGTCTGAACTTCTTGGGTGGTCTTTGAATTGTGACAGCCACGATTGCTTCATCGCAGCTCAATGTGTCCTGGGGGGTATACTGGAAAAACGCGCTATCGATGTGTGACTTCCTCCTCTGCAAATAGTCACTAACAGAGGTGTTTATCAATTCCCTAGGTAAGGCACAAGTAAAGCACCACCTGATTGGTTTCTAGAAACATTGTGGAAAGGTCGCCAGGTAAGGTAGCTAGATATTGAGTGAGCAATACGGAGGCCGCATTGTATTACAGTTGCACATGTCATCCTTTAGCCCACCCGATGCGACTAAGGGCAACGATGGCTGGGTGGAGACGTAGGTCGCTTCTGCCAAGCTCAACAAGGAAGGCAGGCAGTAGACGCCTCCCACATATGACATGGGCAACATTGTCCTCGCCAAGCCCTACGGTCTTCAGGCTGTCTACTCATTTTGTGAGGAAAAGTCGCTTAAGATCGACTTGTCCAAAAGCGACTCAAACACCTCGTTTTAATCGAGAAACGGGATTTCATGCTACCGCAACAATTGGCTGACCCAAGCTTGTACATGGTAGTTTAGCAAATTCGGTCGGTATGTTTTCAAGACACATACAGCTTCTTATTCAAGATAGCTAAACCGCAAGTGCACAGCTGACAAGTTTGACCAGTCTCCCAATACGAAGACGACCCCGCTCTAGCCGTAAGGTGCCATGGACAGACGACGAGACTAAGGTAGAAGGCTGAGTAATCCATCGTGGATGTCACGCGATATAGAGATGACTGTTGAAGATGATTGGTCACTTCACATCGCGGATAGCCCGAGAGAAAGGTTACTTATCAACTTCCTCAAGACAATATGGCACCAAGCAGGCTGCATGTTTATTGGCTGTTTGTACGACATTTCGCATTTCAATAAACTATTCATGCCTGTCAGAGTCGCATTCGTATACAAAAGCAGACACATGTTAATCACCTCATTGCGCAATAGCCATAGAGAGCAATACCTATCATTAGGAACCCAAATTGATTTCACATCACAAATTTGACTCAACGACTACTTATATATCGACATCTCCCAAGCAGTGTTCGAAACATCTTCTTAGAGCTTCCAAGTCTTCAAACAATGTAGAAGTCTCATGAGAAGGTCAATATGATGTCCCTCAAATCCCTCATCATTGCGGCCCTCGGCCTAGCCCCAGCAGCCGTCCAAGCAGTCTACCCCTTCTTCAACCCGGGCGACCTCGCTGCCGCCGACAAGTTCGACTACATCCGCCAAGAACACAACGGCGTCGTCCAGACCGTCACAAACGTAGTCTACAAGGGCACCACCGCCCTCAAAATGACACAAACCTACGATCCGTCCTACACGGGGCGCTACCACTCCGAAGTCGACGTCAACGACGGCTACACCCGCGGCCAGGACCGCTTCTACGGCTTCGCCTTTCGGCTCTCGGAGTCCTGGCAGTTTCAGCCGCAGTCGTACAATATCGCGCAGTTCATCGCCAATCGGCCCGGGGCGGGCTGCGGCGGGGATGATTGGATGCCGTCGAGCATGCTCTGGGTCGAGGGCGATCAGCTTACCTCGCGGATTGTGAGTGGGCAGTATCGACAGCCGGATTGCGGGCGGAGTATTACGAAGTATGGGAATTTGACGACGGTTGAGCGAGGGGTCTGGCACCGAGTTTTGATTCAGGCGAGTTGGCGGAGCGATGCGACTGGGTTTTACAAGATTTGGTATGATGGGGTCAAGGTGTTGGAGAAGTATAACGTCGCGACGACGGTGAACGATGATAGTACTTTCCAGTTCCGTGTTGGGTTGTATGCGAATAGTTGGTATGATCAGGGGAAGCTGGATGGGGATCAGGGGTTCCGACAGGTGTGGTTTGATGAGATTGCCGTTGATTCGACTTATAAGGCGGTGGACCCTGATCAGTGAGTTGAGTTGGAGGGCCAGTCGGGAGATGAGAAGAAGCGCTCACCTTTGACTTAGTGCACGAGACAATCTCGGGAATCTTTTCCGTTATCCTCAGATACCTACGTAACTTAAGTACTAAAGTAGTAACCTCGCATTGAGAAACATGGGATGTCAATATTGAAATCAACAGTTCTACTTATCCCATGCTGTGCCCGCAACGTATGACCCAGCCGCATTCTCGGCATGACCAGAACATTTACATCGTAGCTCTGAAAGACTTCTCTCTATTATTGAAGTTGCGTCCTGTTACTCGTCAATACGGCCCGCGCCGGCCAACGACAATTATTACATCAATCCGGCCAACGAGCCAGAGAAATAGGTCCCAGTGATAATCCTGATCAGATGCAAGATTTACGTGGAGAGTAAACTCAGTTCCAATTCAAGAGTCTGTCGAAACACTCGAAGCAGCTGTGGATGAAGGTCTTCTCCTATGAAGTAGTGCTGAGTTCTATGGTGGCCCTGAGCACCATTCAATGACACTAGTCAAGGCGTAATTCACAAAACACCCTGAAGATGCGGCCAAGGTAGTCCTTTGTATCAAGGGCGGCGTGAAGCCCGGCTCGTGCGACCTTGGTAGCTCTACCGGAGGGACTCGTCGCTCCATCGAAAATATCCTGACGCAGATCAGCGGCACGAAAAAGTTGGATATCTGGAGCCCGGAACGTAGGGATCCTAAAATGCCCCTTTACATCACCTCCAGAACAGCACAAGCGTACATTGAAGGTGGTCAATTAGGTGGCGTTTGACCCTCCGAGATTGGCTTGCCAATACTGCGGGAGGCAATCAAAGCTGGCAAAGTTGAGATCGCGGAGCTCAAGCTTACGGAACAGAAATGTCGTTATTTCATATCGAAGAGGCTGCTCTCATCTTTCTCACTGATGTATTCAAGTACTTCACCTACATATCTAAGAAAAATACCCCCAGACTGAGTTATTGCGACTGAGTATTTCGACTATCCATGCTCCGGCGGCAGACAAGCCGGCAAGTGTATAGCATGAACACTTTCGTCCAAGCACGGGAGAAGTTGTGCGGTCATTGAGCGAAAGTACATCGGTGGTTCCTGCCCCAACATTGCGTGTTTGCCGGCGAAGAGCTCTGGTCACTCCGCTGAAGCCGCTCACCTCACGATATACAGCAGGCAGAGTCGTATGGACTGGGTGTTCCCGGCGCCAGCGGTGTGAGGACTCTAAGGTGGACATGGCAATGGCAGCACCTCAAAAACGTAAAATGTACACGGACAAGGGTTTGCAGGATCTTCACAACGAAAAACTCAATGCCCCAGGTGTGGAGCTCATCATCGTCAAAGGAAAGTTTGTTGGCCCCGAAGCGATTGAAGTGAATGGTTGTCGCCTTACCGCAGAGCATGTCGTTGTAAATACGGGATCTCGGGCTCAGATCGACAGCAGAGTGCCTGGTCTGGTGGATGCGAAACCCGTTGACTCATGTCGAGCTACTGGACCTCACAGTTTTGCCGTCGCATCTGATCATCATGGAAGTTGGCTACATTAGCATGGAATTTGCACAAGTCTTCCAGAGGTTCGGATCGGAAGTCACCGTAATCGAACACCAAGAGATTCTCGGTCGAGAGGACCGTTACGTTGTCAATGCGCTTGTTGATATCGTCTCAGGAGAAAGTGTTCGATTCATTATATCTGCCGATCTCGAACATGTCAGTGGCTTGTCTGGGGATCATATAGAGATTACTGTAACAAGCGGAAGCGAGAGTCTTCTGATTGATGGCTCGCATATACTGGTTGCGACAGGCCGGATTTCTAACACCGCCAACCAAGGCTTTCAGACAGCTGGGACCGAATTAATTTCGGAGGGACATGTCCAGATGGACGAGCAAAGGAGAACTACCGCCGAGGGCGTATTTGCTGTCGGTGACTGCAATGGGCCTCCATCCTTCACCCATATTGGACTTGACGACTTTCGAATTTTCCTGTCGTACATTCTAGAAGAATCTCGGTCTGGTGGCACAAATGGTTGCCAAGTCTTGCGGACACTTTTCACATCCTCTGCAATTGCACATGTGGGTTTGCGAGAGAAGATGCTCAGACAAAAGGTATCAAATATCGCACGCTTAGATGAGATTCCAATGGCAGCGTTCTTGCGGACCCGAACGCTGAGAGACTCCCGAAGATTCGCAAAAGCACTCAGTGATTCTAAGAACCCTAGGTTTTACGGCCCTGGGTCATGGGGTTGATGAGCTACTACCTGTTGTTCAACTGGCGATAAAACATGACTTGTTCTATAAGGAGAAAGCCTCCCCAGTCACTACGCATCCCACGCTAAGCGAGGGATTCGTAACACTCTTTATTTCTTTGTAAATGATGGCATACGCTGTTCTCAAATTCCTATAACTATTTGATCTTGCAACGTACAGAACTGCAAGTTGTCCTACATACGCTTGCTACTTTACTATCACCCAAGTGCTTCCTGACAGGACATGCAAGTATAGAGTGTTCGCAAGTTCTTCATATAGCATCAACCATACTTTTCCAAATCTTTAGTGTTAAAGGTTTTGCTTGAACGGGTAGGAAACCCTTCATATGATCTAAGCCGGGAGTCCTCCTATCAGTACTGGAATTGACGAGCTGTGATAATTTTATATTCAATGGAAAGTACTATAGGCTCCAGACCCCATTCTTTCATTCTTTCCACTCTGGTGAACCTGGCACTGTCTTATCTTGCGGAACCAGATGCAGGTTTGGCGATTTGGGCTGATCACCCCCGAGCACATACGGCGCGACAAACGTGATCGGAATATGTAGATCATCATCGTAATCATTCACGATAACCATGGGCAGTATAAAACTGTAGTCTCGCATGTGCCCAACCGTTACATAACCTTTGGTCGAGCGCGGAAGAGGTGTGAGATCGAGTGTAGCAGTGCCTTGACTTGCAATAACGTTGAAGCGAAGGTTCTGGAGCATACTAGGTCCAGGACCATGGTAGGAAGAGAGCAAAGCAGGATTTTGACGATCATTGGCGGGACCCATAGGAATAGAGATGGTGATTTGGCCAAGTTGGTGCGGGTACATATAGGCTTTCTTTGAGTCCATGCCGGGAATCCGAATAGCAAATATGAGATCGAGCGGATAGGGGGACTTGGTGGGAATAGCGCCGAAAGGAGACATCTGAGGATAGACTCTAACAGTGAAAGGCGGAGGCTTTCCGGCGCCCCCGGCGTCTTCGGGAGATGCTAATGCTAACATAGCCATAGATCGCATAGCAGCTACCCTCCTGACTGGAGCTATTGGCGGTAATGATTCTGTTTCTTCTCGCTCAGGAAACGACTGAAATGTTGATAGCAGACTTGGAAAGTGAGGAGGAACCTCTTGTGGAAGATCCGCAATGACTTTCATTGAAAGTGACTCTGTTGATTAGAGATCTGCATGCAAAGTCGAAACATTTGGGAAGAACTCTCTCCTCTCTGCAGTGGGGTCTACGTCCATGAGACTGAAACTTGGATGCCTTATCGTCTCTGCGTTTGGGTTCAAGGAAAGGCGGTCCGAGGTCAGTCCAAGTTGATAGACGTGGCTACCCAATTGATATCCGATCAGGCTTGAGGTCACTCCGTCGTCGTCAAAATAAGTTTTAGGCTCAGTGCCATCGTGCTGGATGATATCCTTGACTTCATTTCCGAAGGCTGTCAGGTTCAAAAACCTCAGTTCACTGTTCTGGCCCCAGATGAATATTTGTCTCGATGGATGTGTATGAGCATCAGCATAGAATGTCTGTTTTGCAATAGTCTCGTATTTCGAATCTCCACGCGGTTTGAAAAACGTCCGTGTGAAGGATATGGTCAATTGCGTAGCAGAAACGGTATCCCCGAGTGCAAAGTATTGCTGGTGCGGCGGCTGAGTAAACGTTAAGGTATGAAGACTCTTGGACCCAGGCTCACGATCGAAAAGGCACAGAATCACATCGTCGGCAATCCTCTCTTGTCGTAGAATTTCCGCTCGCTCTTCGGCGTGCGGCCCATCGTCTTTGCTGGACGATCCAGGAGGAATTGGTGCCGTGATAAGCAGATCCGGAAAGTCTTTTACAATCTTTGAGCGAAGCAACAGTCCGTATGTCGGCACTTGTGGCCTGTAACCGACATCAGGATCTACTGTTGAGAAATATTTGTTGAAAATACCCTTGATAGATCTTCGCAGACTATCATCGTTGCGTTCAACATGGTTCGCCACTCCCAAGGCTCCGTCGATGACCGCTTCTACCCAATGTGGATCAATGTAGAAGAACCGAAGTGACTCGGCTGGAAGCCAAGACGGCTCAACGAGTAGATTTTGGGCAGGGATTCCGATGAGAAACATTCTGTGCATGATAAAGGTCATGACTGTAACCCAGTCCGATGACCTTGGCAGGTTGAGCTCGTTGTATAGTCGTGCGCCAGTCTCGTCGTCGCTACCCGCGAGATGGCGAATGTGTTTGTCGACCACGTCTTTCATGGTAGAAAAAATACTTGGATTGGTGAGAGACAGATCAACAGGTTGGGTCGAGGGTTTGTCAATTGCACCACTTGTGGGCTGATCGTGCGACGAGGGAGCAAGAGAGCCTGCCTCAGCATCCGCAAGCACCTGAAGAGGCTTTGCCAGCGACGAGATTGTGTCTTTGGTAGACTTCCACGCATCATGCTTCTCCATTTCCTTTTCCTTGCCGCGTCTCAAAGCCATCGCTGCAATGACTGATCGCAGACGCGAAAGTGCAATTGTGAAAGAACGATCCGCGAGTGCGAGCGTTCGACCAAGATTCCACGCCATTGAGTAAGTCAGGTCCATGAGGCCGAGGTCCTTGTCCAAAATTTGCAAGTCACTTCCGCTGAAAGAAAGAGACGTCCACTTCTCACTGAGCTTCTTGGGAGGAACACATGGAATGCATGCTCCGCGAGCAATGGCAGCTGTTTCTTCGCCGGTTTGGGTGCGGTATTTGACGATTGTGTAGCCATCCCTCAAACGCGCAGCTATCCGCTGCCCACTCTCTGACGTATCTCGCCCAGCTTTCTGAATAACTTCTTTAGGAGGTCCGAGTACTGCGCAATGATCCCCCAGATTCCTGAGTGATTCAGATACAGAGGGTGCCCCCGCTGGCAAAACGTTATA